CATTGATAGATGGCTTGTTGTTTACCCATGCTGTCTGCTAGCCAATGTGAATGTATCAAAATTCAAGAATGCGGTCGTATTATACGGATTATTCCCTGCCACCTAGGGTTTGACCTTAAACACTAAACCCAACAAGTCTTCATAGCTATTCAGGTCGCTGCATTGCATGTGGGAGTTGCTCAAGACAATGGGTTCTTGCTGAAGATGTACATAATGGCTTGCTGTTGAGGAATTAAAATCAAGTTGCCACCATGGGTATATACAGTAATTAATGAGTATGGGTTTCCCTATATAGGAACTTAAAATACGTTCCTTAAATCCCTATGCTCCTCAGTGTTCATTTCAGCTTCAATTTTCTTTTCCATTTGATTCTCCATTGTACGCAGGGGGGATAATGTAACCCTAAGCCCTGAACCTTGTATAATAGGGTAAATTAAACTACCCAAAGCTTCATCGCTAGTTTACAGATCATGGCCCTGTACTTGTATGGCATTGTTCAGGTCAACAGCCAGCATGTTTTTAGGGTTTAGGGCTTGCAGTTTAGGGTTTGGGGCTTAGAATGTAGAGATTTAGTATTGGATGCTGCCCCCATTCATGAACAGCTGGATGATATTCATAATATATGTATATAGAGCCCGAATATTACCCCCCCCCCCCGAATTGGTGGGGGCAGGACCCAACCTAAACCCTAAACCCTAAACCCTAAACCCACGTTTAGCAGGGTTTCTCCAACAAAATCCAGATACCTAGCCGGGCGTGAGAGCGGCAAGCACGCTAAACCCTAACCCCAGATTCGGGGTACCTTTAAAAGGGGATGTATAGGATTTCTAGGATTCAGGGGTACATGTAAAATGGCATATATGGGGGTATATAGGACAAAAACGGTTTAGGGTTGAGGGCTTGCCGTAAACAATGCATAAGTCAAGTAATGTAGACCCATGGTTACTACACCCGCTCCTCGTAAGGGCCTTAATATTAGGATGACTACTATAATTCCGAGTAAAGGGACCCTAAACCCTGAACCCTTATAACCCCTGCTAAGGGGAGGGGGTTTATTAATCAGGGGTCTAAACCCTAAACCCTACACCCCTAAATCCTAAACCCTAAACCCCAAGGTTTAGGGTTTAGGGTCTACATTAGCGAATGCAAGCGGTGCAGGCCGCCAAGCCGGCATTTCCCAGGCCTTCGTTGCCGGGATCCTGGATTGGGGCTTAGGGTTCAGGGCTTGGGGTTTAAACTTTGGGTTTAGGATTTGGGGTTTAGGAATTAGGGCTTAAGGATTAGGATTCAGGGCTTAGGTTTCAGGGTTTGAGGTGTAGGGTAGGGGTCTTGGCGCGTGAGGTAGCATCACGGTCAAAGGCTTGCGGTTTGCTCACAGCTGAACCACGACGAGATCCCGCGTAGTTAGATCAGCATGTGTTCAGAATATCTAGGTTTGATGAGAATAGAGGTTCTTGGCGAGCCGGGGGTTTATCAAAATCCTTCCTTCAGTATCCCAAAAAAGCCCCAATACTTTTGCCACATATGCGAAGGATCCCTCAGGGTACCCGTGCTTTGAAACAGTTGCAATTACTGGGAGGTTCGCGCACTGGGTAGCTATATGAGAGGCCATCAGGTGAATTACCGCCAGGTAGACTTTTCGAACTTAGAGACCCTCAGCCTTGCACCCTAGGTTATGTGGCTCGTGTGGATTTAGGGTTTAGGGTTGAGGGCTAGGAGATGAATCATGAGTGGCTGCGGGTCTCAGATTTAGCGGTGCTGGGGTGCGTCGTCAAGGCTGATGAATTGAATGTGTGACCGTAATATCCGCATTCAGATGAACCTATTGTCAATATGTGCCTTAGTAAGGGGTTTGAATTGCATTATTTGTTTTGTGCTCCGCAGCTTTTACCAAGCTTGGCACGCACACAATCATGAACACGACTTCATGAACACGACTTCAGGAAACTGCTCGACTGTTCGGATTGCTTGATCGAGAGACCTTCTGCCGTGAAGTGTGCGTCGCAATGGCTCCGCCTCAGTCCAACGACAAGGCGGCTGTGTCCTGATATGAGCCATAGTCTAAACTCCTTAAAGGGGGTGTTATAGGGGATTATATAGGCGACTATAGGGGCTATGAAGGCGGGTACTAGGAGTTTAGACTATAGCTCATATATCACAAGGCTCCGTATGGTAACATATCCAGTTGATACGGAAAACCTTGCATGACCTCAGTGTACTAGAATGCCACAACTCACGAGGTTTGAAGGTACTTCAGGCGATGCAAGATTGTTGTAGCCGCAGCAACCATCGACGGTCCCAAGCCGAAGTTGATTGGGCCCAATCTACCACACCTCACGGATCTCCCTCTGCACCTAATCCCTAAACCCTAAACCCCAAGGATAAAGGGGGGGGGGTGTCTGTTTAGGGAAAGGTAGGCTTGACGTCAAGCACCAAGCCCTAACATCAGAAGCTGCCAGCAACTACTGCGAAATCTGCCGGGCCTCCAGCTGTAACTGGGTTGCTGTTAAGGAACTTAAATTAAATCACTATAAACCCAAAACCCCTAATCCCTTAACCTTAAGCCGGGCAATGTAAAGCGGCCTCAGCTGACCTCACCCTAAAGGATGGTTCATGTACTTTAAATTGGAAATTGCAATTGTTCGAAATTACCTTGCCGAAGCCCGAATCCCTGAAGCCGACACCCTAAACCCTGATATATACTGCTTAAACACTTTAAAGCCCAAATTTGTCAGGGCCTGCGCTCCGAGGGAATCCTTCCCGCCGTGGGCGTGGGAGCTGCTGTGTGCCCCGGCAACAGGGTTTGAGGTTTGCGTACACAAAAACAAGACTTAGGGTTTAGGGTTTCAGGGTTGAGGGCTGTTAGGGCGTAGTCAGTGCTTGAGGTTTGGAGTTTCAGCTTTCATGATTCAGCTGTTTAGGGTAGTTTGAGCTTTCAGGATCCAGGTTTTTGGGGTTTAGGGTAGTTTCAGCTTGCAGAATTCAGGTGTGTAGGGCTTCGGGTATTTGCTTGAGGGATTGAGGCTGTTGAGCTCCGCACGGGGTTTGTCCGCCGTAAGCGTGGTCAAGGACATTATTGGTCTTCTGAAATTTCCAGGGTTTCCCTAAACTTTAAGTCCTAAACCCAATGCCTGACTATTTGTTGAGCATCACTTTAAGCTCTTAAGCCCCAGTCAAATTTTAATCACTACTTTCCTGACTTCCGACAAGGAAGCCTGTATAGCCCATCCCGGCCCATCCCCATCTGCAAAAGATCCCGTAGCTATTATTATGGACAACTAGTCTTTCGTGGAGTGCATGCCTAGCTCCTAAACTGTTGACCCCGAAACCCCAAACCCTAAGAGCTTAAACCGAAACTGCTAACATCCCCCTTTCACACTTCAGGTGCTTTAGCACTGCCATTGTGGCTAGCTCTGGTTTGGCAACATGAAAACCGAGCCCCTAAACCTTAAACACTAGCCCCGCCTCAGCCCTAAAACAACCTCCTGAACCCCTACAGTCCCCCTTAAGTAGATCGAATATGGAGTTTCCTAAAACCAGTGTAAGCTCCCCTATCCCATCTTCTATCTACTTAAAGTATGACCAGAGCCTTAAGCACCTAGACTCCTTAAACCTTAAGCCCTCAACCCTCGACCCTAAACCCCCACCTTCAAGACTCAGGTACTTTACCCTTACCACCGTCTCTTTGGGGACATTGGGCTTGGTCGGTATTGGTGCTGGCGTGGGCTACGGCGTGGGGAGCAGCTTGCCAACGGATTTGAGAGGATCTCATGCCCCTAAACCCTAAACCGTAAACCCTAAACCCTAAACCGCCTGATAGGGAAATCCAGGCTCCAGGGTTTAGCGTCTAGGGAAATTGGAGACGCAAATGGAAAAGAACCCGGAGATGAAATTACAGTTGGGGTTTAGGGTTTAGGGTTTAGGGGTTTAGGGTGTATACATTTTTGCCACCCCAACCGCCAAAATCAGGATAAAAAAAGTCAGATGATAGACCCAAAATACGCTAATCAAAGTTACAGGGACTCTTGAGAAGGTACCCCTAATTTTGCAAAACACCCAAAGCCAGAGCATGTACACAGCATACCCTTCCCTATGCAACTCGGACAGACAGTTGCCTGTTTGCTAGGGTTTAGGGTTTAGGGTTTAGGGTTTAAGGGGTTTAGGGTTTAGGGGGTTCCTTAGATTGAGGACATAAGCTACGGAACCCCGAGCTACAAGACGCGTTTGGCAATGCGCATTACTTTCTAGCCCTTAACCTTAAACCCTTAATCTCAAATCCTTACTTAAATCCTACCCTGAACTTGAAACCCCAAAACAGGGTTCCAAATCCTAAGCACTAGCCCCCGCCTCCCAGCAAGGTAACTACAACAGACCAGGCGTGGATGCGTAAGGTCACGGGAAGTAGGAGCAGCTCTAAAGTCGAGCCCCTAGTGCCTGGGGTTGAGCGACCCCGGTTAAGGTATGATGTAGACCTCTTACTAATAAACCCCCCTCCTTAATAGGGATTATAATAGGGAGCCCTAATTTCAAGGCTCTTCAAAGGAGGGGTGATGATTAATCAGGGGTCTATATTAGGGTTTAGGGCCAAATCTGGAGCAACTAGGATGGCTTAGTAGCCCCAAGCCTGAACAAAGGGGCCCTACAGACCCTAAAACCTGAGCCCCAATACCCAATGAGGTCACCACAAGGGAGAATGTGAATTAGTTTAGGGTCCCTAGATGTATTCCTGACATCTCACTACTTTGTTTACGGTTTTAGACATGACCTGTTGCGTGGTCAAAGGGAGCTGATGTTTATTGGGGCTATTCAGCGAACCCTAGACTTTACAGCCGAAACCCTGTTCGAACGGCCATTTCCTGCGGGAGAAAAGGCACGCCAAAAAAGAAAACGGAATCCTAAACCTTAAACCCTAAACCCTAAACCCTAAACCTTAAACCCTAAACCCTAAACCTTAAACCCTATACCTTAAACCCTAAACCCTATCATTAGTTTGGGATCCTTTTTGCAGTTCACAGCCAAGGTTGGGCTATGGACCGATTCCGCGAGAAGAGGTGCGAGAAGAAGATGGATCAACTTCCCCAGGTGACCAAGGGGCTCAGGATTTATAGAGTTCAGGGTTTATAGGGTTTATAGGGTTTATGGGGTTTATAGGGTTTATAATAGGGTTTATAGGGTTTATAGGGTTTAGGGTTTAGGGTAGAAGATGGACCAACTTTTCCAAGAGACCAGGGGCTTTAGGTTTAGTTATAGGATCCTACAGGGGGGAGGGTACAAGCGAGCCTTGGGGAACCTTAGGGAAGCTTAGGGAGTGTAAGGGAAAAGTGGGGCTTCCCCGGGAGACCAGGGGGCTTTTGGTTTAGGGGCTTATTGGGGATTGAGGGTTTATAGGGGTTTACGATTTTAGGGTTTATAGGGTTTTAAGTTATAGGGTTTAGGGTTTGTAGGGTTTATGGGGTTTACATAGGGTTTTAGGGTTTATGGGGTTTGTAGGGGTTAAGGTTTAGGGGTTAGGGTTTGGTTTTCAGGGTTCAGGGGTTAAGGATTTCGGGCTTTGAGGGTTTTAGGATTTGAGGGGATTGTAGGGGTTACATAGGGTTTACATAGGGTTTAAGGGTTAGAGGGTTTTAGGGTTTATGGGGGCTTAGGGGTTTTAGGGTTTTTGGGCTTTAGGGGTTATAGGGTTTTGGGGTTAAGGCTTAGGGGTTAGGCTTTAGGGTTTACAGGGTTTAGGGGTTAAGGTTTAGGGGTTAGGGTTGGGTTTGATGGTTTAGGGATTAAGGTTTAGGGTTTGGGGGTTTTAGGATTTTAGGAGCTTGTAGGGGTTACATAGGGGTTGAGAAGGGGCTATATTGGGGTTATGTAGGATTGCTATAGTAGGGGGATCCCTAACTGAAGCGCCTGTTTGATGCAGGAGTTCTTGGAGCGCCACAAACCTAAAAAGCTGGCTGCGCGAGGTGTTTGCTTGACGCGTGCCCTCCGCGAAGCTAAATGTCAAATTGGCCCTAAACCCTAAACCCTAAATCGCATGGCCTCCTTTCAAGAGGACAGTATGGCCAGCAGTGCATGGGTTTAGGGTTTAGGGTTTAGGGTTTAGGGTTTATACACTCCCGGAAACTTACATGGAAACCCAAAAAGGGCCCTATAAAGGCTACAGTCCTTCTAAATGGGGACTATAGGGGTTTCCATGTTACTTTGGGGAAGTGTAGGCCCCCGTTTGGGGCTCCAGAAAGTTTGCTGGAGAGCTCTGGTGCAGCATTAGTACGAAAGCGCCTCCAGAGCCACCTTCCGGATGTAAAGTTAAACGTTGATATGAGCTACTTGGAGGTTCATGGGACTTAGTAACTACGTATAACTCGGGTTATAACCCTACTTATGATTGGGGTAACACCTATAGGCCCATTTAGGGAGATTATAAGTAGAGTTATATGCCCAGTTGTAAGTAGTTACTAAGTCCCATGGGCCTCCAAGTATGGTCTGAACTCCTGAAAGGGGGTTATAGTTCTAAAGGGGATGATACAGTGAAACATTATAGGGGTTATTGCGGAAAATACCTGGAGTTTAGATCAGCTCACATGAAGTGTATTTTCCACTCGGCCATACACCCTAAACGCTTACCCCAAATCGCGTTTAGCCCCAACCCTTTAGCCATAAGCCCTCCAACCCAAGACCCTAGGGACTCTAAGCATAAAATCCAAACTGGACCCTGAGCCCGAAACCCTAAGCCCTAGAACCCTAAACTCCAAACCCAAAGCTCCAACTTGCCCAACCGTACATTCCCAACCCAGAAGCGGCGCTTGGTAGGGAATGGGCGAATCGACCTCAAACCCTAAACACCAAACCCTCAAACCCTAAAAGCGAAATCTAAAACCCCAAGCCCCAAACCCCTAAACCCTAAACCTAAACCCTAAGCCTTAAACCCTAAACCTATGCAACGTAGGAGCTGAAGGACCACTATACCCTAAACCCTAAACCTTGAACCCTAAACCTACGCAACGCAGGAGCTGAAGGAAGGTCTGCGGCAGTGGCAGGCCTTCTTGGCCTCTCGGCATCCCGGACAGCCGAACCCGGCAGAGGAGGGGCTTCATGGGGTTTGAGGGGTTTGGGGTTTTTAGGGTTCTAGGGTTTAGGGTTTAAGGTTCTAGGGTTGAGGGTTTAGGGTTTAGGGTTTGGGGTTTAGAGGTTAAGGCTTAGGGTTTAGGGCTTAGGTTTTAGGCTGAAGGGGTTTGAGGGGTTTGGGGGTTTAGGGTTCTAGGGTTTAGGGTTCTCGGGCTTAGGGTTTAGGGTTTAGGGTTTAGGGCTTAGGGTCTAGGGCTTATTAGGGTTTAGGGTATAGGGTTTAGGGCTTGAGGGGTTTGAGGTGATGGGTGCAGAGGTTTGGGGTTGAGGCTCCGGGTTCAGGGCCTAGGGTTGAGGGATGTTGAGGATTTGAGGTGTAAGATTTGTGATACCTTAAAACTGACACCCTAAAACCCCAAATCCCAAATCTTGAGCTTTGAAGGTTCAGGCTTAGCTCATAAAGGGGTGCAATGGAGTTGTGTACTGGGCGCAGTTGGCTTGATGGAGAGATCAGGGTTAGGGTTTAGCGTTTACAATTTATCGTTTAGGGTCTAGGCTTGGGGTCCAGGGTTTGTGGTTTGGGGATTAGTGTTTAGGGTTTAAGGTACTTCTGATCTGTGCGCTGTGATCCTGGCGCAGAATTTAGAAGTTTGATTGGATTCTGAATAGCTGGGGATCTTACCTCTTTCACTCGCATATATGTGTGTAAAATATATGTACGTATTTATGTCTTACGAGATGTCCTACTTATTCAAGCCCTTACATTATCCAGTTGACCGACCATTTCCAAGCGACACATTTTTGATTGGGCTCAGGTTTTATACCCTTGCTGCTGCACTTCTCTTGGTCACAGCTTTGCAGCTGTCAAACGGTGTGTGACTATGGTCATGGTATTAGCTTTCTTGTACCTTAACATCATCAGTTTATTGGTATCCAAATGCGGAATCAGAATGTTGAAGCCTTGAACCCTTGTCCAGCTCACCCTTACATGAGAGCATCTTTTTTCAAAAGCAACCCTTATTCTTACATTTGTCATCCCTGTCCTCTTAGTCTTAAACCCTGTATAAACGCGGTGTATACCTAGGATCCCTACGGGTCTCGCTGCTTTGACAACCCTAAACTCTAAACCCTTAACTTTCAATCCTTGAGCACTCGAGCTTACTTGAAGGGTCGGGGGGCTTAGCAAATAGATGAATGAGTGGGGATAAGTGGGGTGTTTAGGGTGTGGTCTAGAGGGATTGTAAGTATAATTACTAAGTCCCCCTGACCCTCCAAGTAAGCCCTAGACCTTGACACCTAAAAGCGTCAATCCCGGACCTTGAGCCCTAAACCTTCTGCCCTAGGTCCTTGATCCAAAACCTCAGACCTGTATGATTTAGGGTTTCGGATTTGGGGTACAATTGGATCTAAGGTCTAGGGTATAGGGTAAGTCCTCAAACCTCCACCCTCAACCCGGAAATCCTCAAACCTTCAACCCTACAGTCTAAGCCCTCAACCCAAAACCCACAACCCTAAACCCTAGTCCCGAAGCTTTACACCCTAAAGCCCCAAGCCTTCCACCCTGACCAACTTCAAACTCGTGTAGAAGCCCGGATGTGGGGTCTTAGATGCTTTGGATTTGGGGTTTAGGGTTTAGGAGGCTAGAGGTTATCTTAATTAAAAGTCACACTTAGTTGATATTAGTGTGCAAGTTTTCAGGCCGCTACCTTCCTTAATCCCTGAAAACGGGCATAAGCCCAGGACACTTTCCATGTTCTGTGCTTTTGATTTATGATCAGTGGTGATTTTTGAGTCCACAATTTTACCCCTAAGCGCCAAAACCATGAACCCAAAGCCTCAAGCCGGAAGCCCCATGCCCTAAACCCCGACCCCAAACCCTGAACTCTGAACCCTAAAACCTCGAAACTAAACCCTAAACCCTAAGCCCTGAACCCTAAGCCCTCACGACCATATACACTTACCATTACTTAGGGTTATCAGAGTTCCTTAATCTCAAAATTTCTGAACTGTTAATTCAAAACTCCGCCCGTAAACCCTAAGTAATGGTAATGAAGCCCAATGCCTGGACCCTAAACCCCTAAACCTCAAAACCGAAAACCACTCAGCCCCCTACACCCTAGGCCCAAAACCATGAACCCTAATCCCTAAACCCCAAACCCTACACCCTAAACCCTGAAACCCTAACCCCTACACCCTAAACCCTAAACCCTCCTCCGAACCAGCAGGCCGAGGCCCTCTTTGCTGAGTTTGCGCAGCTGCAACCTTTTTATGCGCAGCAGGATCGGCACTTTTACAGGGGTTTATAGTGGTTTATATTGGGGTATATGTATGTATAAATACATGGATATATGCTCCCCCCCCATGATCTACCTTTTGGTGGGTTGCTGAGTCTCGTACAGGTCCTCATATCTATAAACTCCTTTTAAAATCCAGTNNGAGAAATGTTGGAATCCTAGCATTTTTCGTACATTACCCTTTTACAATAAAATTGTGAGTTTAAGCGAGATCTTAGAATCACGAAATTCTGGTTTTGGAGGTGGCCTTGCTGTATATACATCCCATTTACTTCCACCCTATCTTCACTCGGCGGCTTTGGTAGTAGTCATACACCACTCAAGATCCAGGTGTCCGCCTTGTTTGCAGCTATTGCAGGAGTCTCTAGCACAGCGACCTGATTCTTGATGTGGACCACAAGCCCATCGATCGCATCTTCACGAACTTGGAGGTAGCCAGGGCCAGGTACGTCGAGGATCAGGAAAGTGCTATCACCTTCGGGGACCCGTCCGGTTCTATGTGGAAGGACGTAGAGGCGGACGAGGTTGACTGGGTAAGGCTTTGGTAGATGATGCGGATGACCCTTCCTACAATCTCAAGCGGGAACAGTGATGCGGCATTGTAGAACGTGAACGCCCATCCTCCTTGAGATTATTTCGTCTAGATCCGGCTATGACCAAGAAGAACTCACCAGGACCCGGTCCAATTCAAAAGCGTGATTGGAAAAAGATAGGTGAACCACTTCTACGCGATCGCAAAGTTGTACTCCATACGGATGGTGTTCGCGCCTACAAGCTACCTATTCCGGGCATGCTTCACGCGAACGTTGTCCACAAGAAGAAGCGAATGATTCTCAATGGAAAGGTATTTGCAATTTAACTTCAGAAAGGTTTTCCTTAATATATATGTATGTAAAGTTTCTAATACTTTCTTAAAACATGTAGATAACACATTTCTTATTTTCAGTTGTTATTCAAGTAAAACATAAGGCCCGATGGATCAAGCCGCACTTCACAAAGCTCTACAACTTCAATCTTCCTGAGGGTGGCAGGTTGCGTGTTAAGTCCGGTACACAGGTTATTGACCGGTTTTGGGGACATGTTCGTGCTACCATCCCGCGTAAGCCGGGGAATCTTGTTCTGCGACGCAAGATCTGATCAGCCAGCTTACATACTGGAATAAGGGTCGAAACTCGTGGCCTGCTGCAGCCCATATGCTGCGTTACTTGTATAAGTTGTAGCTTGTGTACATGCGCTTCCCTCGTACTCGCACCAGCTCCTGATTTTGATGGAACAGCGAGCAGCACTCTCAGGAAAGAAAATGTATTCTCGCCATGTAGTCTTGCTTCTTGATATACAAATATTGGGAGTGCTCAGTTGAAAAGCAGTGCCGATCCAAGTGAACCTGTTCGAGCATCCATGCCGCAGCATCTCTTCTTATGCGCACCTAGCTAGCACACTACCCTTCGGCGACATGACGCAATGGGAGGAGCTTCCACAAGATGCCAGACGTCTCGTGCTAAGCTACTTGCTGGAACCCGTTCGTATTCCGGCAACCCCTCATATCCATCCGCGTATCATAGGTGAACTACCAGACGGTGCCTTTTTGGAAACTCAGTGAGATCTTATATAATTATCTTTAACGAAACTTAATACAAGGAAGTTCTATCAATAATTATCACAATATTGCTATTCTTTGCAGAAAATAACGCTTTCAGTGGTACACTGAATCCTCAAGGGTTCGATTGTGGAGCGTTTCGGAGACCAAGTCTACAAAGTCTGCGCTGAGGGGGGGGGGTTCTGTTAACAACTGAGGAGCTACGCTGCGTCAAGCGGAGAAGACGCGCCAGATAAGTGATTGCAAGTATCTCAAAGAGATTGCTTCTCATTCAATCGATTACTGCAACCGCAAAAGCAAAAAGCTTTACAGCAGTTCAACTATAGGAGTGTAAGTTAGTTCTCAGTGACTACTATTATAAGCATTAACCTTTCCCTCCTCCATGTAGAGTATGATAGGATACGAATATGCAAGCTAGTATTAAATTTGCTGATTTTATAAATCCTATTATTAGAATTATAGACGAAGTTTCATATAGCACGAACATGCATACGGCTTTAAGATAAAGATGCCGTAATTCATGTACACTTAACTTTCATAATCAAACAATAAATGCATAAATTGTGGCATTTTAAATCTGCATTCTGCTTTATAATATGCCTATTGAATTCAATTAAAATGAATAGCTAGAACCAGGATTCCTAAATGCATGTTTTCCAGCTTTTTTAAAGTTAATTAGTAATGTATAATTTAGTAAAGCTTCAAAATCCAGAAATCTAGGAATAGAGGATGTTGATATTGTTTGTGATTTAATTTAATAAGGAATTTACGATCTGGTAAAGCTCCCAAATACAGGAGGAATCCAGGAATTCGAGATTTCGGTATTATTTTTAAGTAAATTTAGCAAGGAATTCATAAAGCAGAGACCAGGTACTCAATTTTCGTCAAAAATCCAAAAATCTAAAAACTCAAAAATCCAAAACACAAAATTTTCAGGAAAATCTTTGTGATTTTTGGATTTTTGGATTCCATTTTTTTCGGGATTTTTTTTTATGAAAAATAAACAACAATGGAAATATTTGGATTTTCACATCTGGTAGTACAGAACCATTTTATTTCCTAAGGTTTTTTTTTGGGATTTTTCATTAAAAATCAAAAAACCAATGGAAATACACCGCTTTTTCAACAACGGAAACTCAAAAACAGTTGTATTTCCATTTTTTTAGATTTTTATGAAAATCCAACAAAAACCTTAGGAAATACAATGGTTTTATACTATCAGATGTGAAAACTCCAAATATTTCATTTTTTTGGATTTTTCATAAAATCAAGACAAAACAATGGAAATCCAAAAATCCTAAATCACAAAAATTTTCCTGAAAATTTTGGGCTTTGGAATTTTGATTTTTTTATTTTTTGATTTTTCGGAAAATTGTGTGCCTGCTCTTTGCTTTATAAATTCCTTATTAAATTTCACTAAGAACAATACTAAAATCCTAGATTCCTGGATTCCTGTATTCTGAAGCTTTCCCAGATTATAAATTCCTTTATAAATTTAATTAAAAAATGATACCAAATCCCAGATTCCTAGAGTTTCGGATTTGGAAGTTCCCTAATTTGTTCATCAATGTTTCAGTCCTTGTAAACCATAAAAACGGACAGTAGTTTGAAGTGTTAAATATGATATCGACCAAGCAGCAAATTCATCGGTATTTACAGTGTGTTTATGCATTTTTACATCAAAGAAAGACCTGGAGGTAGATGATGGCGGGGGTGACCATATATATATATACACATATATAGAGGGTTGAGGGTTTAGGGTTTAGGTGTTTAGGGTTTAAGGCTTAGGGCTGAGTGGTTTAGGGTTTAGGGTTGAGGGTTTGGGGTTTAGGGCTTCGGGTACGGGGCTTATGGGTTAAGGTTCAGGATTCTTGTGGTTTGGGGGTTGAGGGTTGTTTAGGGGTTTTATGGTCTGTTTTGGTGTTTGGGTGGCGGTGTGTAGTTGGGGGTTCTCTTCCAGGCACAAGGTTCGGTTTAGGGCTTAGGTTGGGTCACTCCCCCGCCCAGTACCGGGTACCACGAGGAAGCTATTGTAGGCATATGAAGGGCTTAACAACACCACATGCTGGATTCATTTCTGTGGGGGGATTGTCCTAAGGTTTAACGTTTAGGGGTTTTGGGTGTCAGGACTAAACCCTATTCCTTCTAAGAGGGTTGTATACAGGGTTTCCTTTTTCCTTGAAGATGTGGTCATCGGGGGCACGACGTAGAAGTCTAGGAACTTGATGACTTGCCAATTTCACTCCCCCAAACTAACATGGAAACCCATATAGTCCCCTTTTAGAAGGACTGTAGCATGTTAGTTTCCAGGAGTGTACCTTGCCCTAAGAGAAAGCACTTCCCCCTCTTGCAATGGCATACGAGTTCACGAACTCCTTAAAGGGGGTTATATGTTGGGTACTGCCCCCCCTCATTAACAGTTGGATAATATATATAATATGGTTATATATAGCCTTAATAGGATCCCTAACATAGACTGTTACTGAGGGGTGGGGCAGTACCCAACTTATATAGCGGATTATTTAGGGTTTAGGATTTAGGGTTTAGACTCCTATTACAATGAGGATTAGAGTATTTGGGGGTCTACATTCGGGTCTCCCCATTTATGGAAACTGCCATTCCAGAACTCAAATATCATGGTGTACATATTCAATATGGAGGGTGTGGGGATTAATTATTCGTGGGGCGTTCTTAGTGGGCGTATAGTACAGTCTATGTGAGGGACATTTTTAGTACTGGTAGGGGGGGGGTCTGATCATAGGGGGAAGTTTTGCATACCGCAGGCCAAACACATCATTCCAGCGGTTCCAGCTCCATCGTAGCCAAAAGGTGTAGAATTTTAGTGCGAAAGACTTACTATAAATGCAAGCGATGCATATATGGCTTTGTCACTGGAGGGATGCTAAGATTTTGGTCTCAATAGATTGTCGCTCGGCAGGTGCACCACTTTGTGCACGCGCACGGTGGCAGCACGGTTCCCGCGTCGCACTTCGTAGGAATATAAGACGGCCCTAGTAACAGTATAGTCACCATTACCCCTCGTAGTCACTATTTCTAGAGGGGGGGTTCGGGTAAGGTAGTTTAAAGTTTATTGTTTTGCCAAGATTGCTGGTTCCAGAGAACGCTCATACTAACAGCCGACCCTAGACCCTAAACCCCAAACCCTAAACCCCAATCCCTAAATCCCTTCATCCCTAAATCCCTAAACCTTAATCCCTAAAGCCCCTCATTCCTAATCTCTGAAGCCTTAAATCCCTAAACCCTAATCCCTAAATCCCTAAACCCTAAATATTCCAAACCCTAAATACTAAACCCTAAATATTGGACCCATCCTGTAGGGATTAGGGATGCTTCAATTGGGCTCTCGCAAACGGACACCGGTATTGGTAGGGCCAGGTTGGGGGTTTCATGTTCGCTGGGGTGCAGGCAGTTTGGTGGACAGGCTTAGGGTGAGCGTAGGTTGGGGGTTGAGCGGTTCAGGTTTTAGGCTGCAGGGTTTAGGGCTTAGGGAACCCTTAACCCAGGCCGGCTTAGGGTTCAGGGTTTGCGAGTTAGGACTGTGTTGGGCAATTATGGAGCAAGAGTGAAGCATCCACATGAATGAGCCTTTCTTGTAAAGAGGTATAAGCCACTGTCCATATAAACCTTACCAAGGGACCCTAAAGGGTCGACGTAGGGTCCCTCTTTTAGTGTAGTATAGTCCCCAAAATAATCCCCAATAAGAAACCAATGTCCATTAACTATCTGGGAACGGTTAACTGTAGCTCATATAACTCCCACAGGCTCAAAGACAAAGGCCAGAGGCGCCGGATCCGAAGGTTGTTGAGAAACCTAGGCGGAAGTCAGTGTGCACGAACCATGTGATTTTATGCCACTATAGTTGAAAATATACGACCNNATTGTAGAGACTGTGTAGACGCCCAAGTAGAGAACTCCGTAGAAGTAGTTCTGCTCAAAAGTTCCCAGCACAACAAGCATGGCAAGACATGCTCCGACAACACTTTGGCTCAAGGAAAAGGAGCTTTGACACGCCCCTGGTTCGTAGGTCTAGGTTGGCCGGTATAAGTCCTTACTTGTACCTCTACTTTGACCTTCGGGGTTCTGTGTCTTTTGACTTCTACAGCCCTTAATATGACCCTTAAAGTAGACTGTCACAGGGTGGGGGCAGTAACCAAGAAGCCTGACGTGTTGAGCCCGAAAAAGGGCAGTGCTTCATTGGAGACAGTGGGTGTCAGTAGAGACAGGGTGCTCAGGCTAGATTTCAGGGGTTAGCTTTCAGGGATTCGGCTGCATCCCCCCAGGGTGCAATCGCGATATGACGCGATCTTTCTCGAGGGGTGCAAGACTTAAATCCTAAACACAACCCAAACCCTAAGGGGTTTGAAGGCTCCCCAGGTAGATGGTACGGCTTGTGTTGGATGGTGCCCACATCCTACAACAAACCCCAACCAGGAATCTAGCCCTACAAACCACAAACTTTAGTCATGCAACGTTTCTGGCCCTAAACTCTAAACTACCAAACCCTAAACCCTAACCCCTAAATTGCTAAGCCCTAAACCCTGAGCCCTAAACCTTGGCAGGAGACTGCCTATGGCAGCCGAAGCTACGGAACTTTCTGCAAGGATCTGAATCCCGCAGATTCCTGGCGCGCCGGGGGTGTTACGGTTTAGGTTTAGGGTTTAGGATTAAGGATTGAAGATTTTATGGTTTAGGATTTAGGGTCTAGGGTTTAGTGTCGAGGATTTAGGGTTTTCTGATTTAGGGTTGAGAGTTTCGGGGTCAGGGGGCTGCCTGTGAGAGTTTTGTGTTAAGTTAACCTTTATTGCGAGTGCGGGGGCGGAGGGATTACTAATTAGGGCCATGGTTGACAGCCACAAGTGCTGCCTCTAACCGAAGTTGTTGGTGTATTATAAGTAGGGGCCAAAACATAGTAACATCATGGTCCAAAGCTTCTTGTAGAACTGTAGAACTCTGGTGTAGGGTAGCTCAAGTAGACCTCAAGTTGGTACTGGTACTTAATAGGCCCCGGCAGAAAAAGGTTGAGGGTTTAAGGATTTAGGATTGAGGCTTCTATAACGGGCTTAGGATTTGGGGTTTGGGGTGTGGCGCACGGGTCCGGTGAGGATTTAGGGTCTTCTGTTTTAGAAGTTCTCTAACCTCTGAGTAGGGCTTGCTTGCTGAAGGACGTAGAGGTGTAGCGGATTTTGGGGATGTACTGGTGCAGCGTTTAGGGTTTAGGGCGCGGGGTTGAGGCTGCTAGGCTGTTTTGTATTTAGGGTTTGTACTTGCAGTGTGAATGGCAGTGGTACCATTATCACAGCGAATGTCAGAATACAAGTTTGGTGCGAAGACTACATAGGTTTGTAGGAAAACCTAAGCCCAACCCTAGGTCCCAAAACCTAAACCTTGAACCTTAAACCCCAAACCCCACACCCTACTTGGAGGCCCAGTGAACTTAGTAACTAGTTATGATTGGGCTTCTAACCTTAATGATAATCCCCCTAAATGGCCTTATAGGGGTTACCCCAATTATAAGTAGGGTTATAAGCCCAATTATAAGTAGTTACCAAATCCCATGGGCCCCCAAGTAAGGGACTCCATACATAGCAAATCCCTGGCAAAAAGCACCTCGAGGCTCGAGGCTTCTAATGTAGGAGCTACAAGAACGACCCAGAATACTATGCCATAGGTGGAACCCCCACCCCCACCCAGGAAAGGTGACTATAAGGGATGATATAGGGTTTAGGGTACTAGTGACTATAAGGGATAATCATGATTGTATGAACGTCCTCTTATATGCCCACGACACCACTATTACAGGGTGGGGCGTCCTCCTAAACTATGCCACAATCTTTGTAGAAGGTTTTGGGGAATGTAGCCTAAAGCTTTGTTATTCATTTAGGCTTCTGCATTCTGCATTACACCTCTGGATGCGGGTCCCTTTTCCGTTTCGGCATGGAAGGGCTTAGACCCTTGGGAGTTCTTGTAGGGTTTAGGGTTTAGACCTGAAGTCTAGGGCTAAGGGTTTAGTGCGCATGGCGGTTTCCAAAGAAGCCCCATAAGATCCTTAGCAGGGGACCTTGTAACCTTATGTAGTCTCCACCTATCCCTCAGGACCCTAAAGCTACCCCCTTTTGAGAAACCCCATTTTGCGTCAGAGCAAGTATTTCGTCAAAATTTGAAAAGGCGGCATCATGAAGAACCCCAAGGACAGGTGGGTTCGTTTCGAAAGGATTCCCATAGAAGACCCCAGCTTATGGATACAGAAGACCTGGGCCGCACTTGGCGCTTCTCAAAAGTGATCCCCATCCCACATACCCCGGGTCCCTAAGTCCTAAACCCCAGAGTCCCAAGCGTACCCCAAGTTTGACGACCTCAACATAGAGCCACCCGTTTAGGCTTCAGGTTGTAGGGTCCTAAACCTTAAACCACCTTAAAAACAGTCGAAACCCAAGCACAAGTCCCAAAGGAAAAGGGGCACAACAACAGGGAGGGGACCCGAGTTGGTGGATCCAGTGAACCTACCCAAAGGCTCTAAACCAAAAACAACCCTAGTCAGTTTAGGGTTTTGGGGTTAGGGAACCCTAAGCCCCAAACCTTAAGCAAGCAGCCAGACCTGAAAAGTTGGTGGGTCCTGGGGAGATAGCAGCTGCTTAGGCACACGGCATACATGCCTCACAGAATGCACCATGAAGAAGCGGAGGGACGTTGTATCCGCTCAATATGCAGGCTTGTAAGCTATCTGGGAACCAGACCAGCTGCGAGAATTCACTAAGCGCTTTCCCTGATTGTTCAATTTACCCAACCAATCATTTAAACGTCAAAGACAATTCGTGGTATGTTGGCCGGTGGAGACACTATAACTCCAGCCGTGTGTTGGTCACTTCCTCGCGCATCTGGAAATCCTTACGAGGAATTCTATCCTCCTAAGATGGTCTCCCCGAGTATGAAGCTGAGGCATCGCTATGATTTCTAGCTTGAGCCTGTTTCACCCATACCCCGGACGCATTGTTGAAGGTGGGAGTCAAACTGGCTGTGGCCGACGGTGCAGGCGCAGAAGTGGGAACTTCAATAAAGGGATCCAAGGAATTGGGGTCATTGTTGGGAGTTCCTAACAGGAGCTACAGTCTAAACTCCTTGAAGGGGGATTAGATACTGGTAGGGCAGTATTGAATTAGGAGTCTAAACTATATCCCATATGTGGGGGTTCCTGACAAAATGACTGCTGTCTCATTGAGAATGCATGTTCAGGGGTACAACTTCTGGGGTACAACCCACTTGGGCCCAACATGAATTAACCTACCCTAAACCCCAAACCCTAAACCCCTAAACCCCTAAAGCCCTAAAGCCCTAAACCCCTAAACGCTAAACCTTAAAGCCCC